AATATCAATAAAATTGTGAAAATAGTAGTGCAATTCATTTTATAGCGACGCAGTATGCCTTAAACATTTCCCAGACCTATATATTTTGAGACTATCCTTTTAATACTGCGTCCACAGCATTCATAAAAAATGGTGTTCAAGATACACTACCCATGCAAATTATTTTTGCATCTTGGAAGCCAGGCAGTATCTGTGTGATTTTATAAAAATTCGGAAATGTTCTTCAGATATGAGCCCCTCTAAATATTGGGTGCGGAGCTACGTTTATGGAGCTGCTCCGCACCCAATATTTAGAGGGGGCTCATATCTGAAAAACATTTCCGAATTTTTATAAAATCACACAGATACTGCCTGGCTTCCAAGATGCAAAAATAATTTGTATAGATAGTGCACCTTGAACACCATTTTTTATGAATGCTGGGGACTCAGTATTAAAAGGATAATTTCAAAATATATAGGTCTGGGAAAGGTTTTAGGCACACTGCGTCGCTATAGAATGAATTGCGCTACTATTTTCACAATTGTATTGATATTTGGTGTCAAATACACATATCTTGGTATATTTGAAGTCCCAAAACGGCTTAGTTTCAGAAATATCCCAAATTTAAATTCAAAAATAACCGTTAGCTCCGCACCCTCCGCTCATTTGCTCCACACCCAATATTTCCCACAGGCTCTGTCTGCATAGGGTGTTATCATCTTGTATTAAATGTTACACAATAAAATAAGCATAGACAATCCTCCACAATAAGATAACATACAAACAAGTTTTAAAACCTTGATGTCTCATGTCAATCATGTTTAGGAATGAAGATTGATTAATTAGATGTAGCTGTTTTACTGAGGACAATCTTTACAAAGGATGGAGAGAGACTGCCTTCAGGCAATACCAAATCTAAATTTCAAAAGTATTTAGGTTTAACTATTTGAGACCAATCTATCATAGAGTGACTCAGATTTGAGTATTAAGAAAGAAATCAAATTGTGTAGGTGATACAAGAATTTTATGATGTTTGAGGGTTCATAATTTTTGTGTTTCTTTATTTATGTGTTTTTAAATTTGCTAACTTATAATTTAGAAGGGAGTATCTATTTTTACTCTTACTCTTTTAAAGCTTTACAATGATAGACTCTAATGATAATTAATACAGGACAATAACAAAATAATCCCCCCTCATTCTTACTCTACAGTATACATAACCGAACATTACAGGATGAATCATAAAATTAATAACAAAAACAACACAAGCCACCAATTTATATCAATGATCATTCAATACTGAACTCATGTCACAGACTTAGTCATAAACCAAACCATAATAGCTTTAAAATAATATGACACGTGTGATATTTTTTCTTATAAATGATATTGTTGCGTTTCTATGGAATACAATACCTGAAAATGCACTCAATATTGGATAAGGCATTAAAGGGAATTCCAACTGAAAAATCAAGCGAAATTGTCGTTCTGATACCCCTATACAGTCTAACCTGGCATCAATTTTAAATTAGCTTTATTGATTTATAGAACATGAATAAATGGAATGAATGAAAATAAAAGCTGCAACTATACAGTTGTAATTTGTTGGTTTGTACCTAAGATTAATGGAATGAATGTTATGGTTTGGTTGGAATGAAACTGGCTATAATCTAATTAAACCCTTGTCAAATTTTGTAATAAATTCATCTAGTATTATAGGAGATACTAGTGAATATTTGAAGCTATTCCTCCTGAAGCTCTCTGTACAAATCCTGTAGTCTAGACTCAAATCCCTTTCAGATAGATAATTTGATACATACAACTCAAAGATCTCATCAGTACTGATACCCTGAGGCCAAGAGCCTAGTAAGAATAACTACACTCTAGAATTCTGATTTGATCAAACTGAGGACCTTTAAGAGTGTAGTTTTCTTTTAATAATGCAAAATGAAACTTTTGAAAAGGGTACATCACTGAGGCATATTGGGTGTGGTTCAAGTGGCACACAGATGAAAATTTGAAACTCACCTCGTATTGATGTGATGTATTCTCGTTTCTGGTGCTGCCAATAATGCAATACTATTACTAATCTATTTTTTTTACAAATATGCCCAATTTCATCATTGTAATGCATAATTAATAACTATACCAATTAACTAATAGATACTGGATCTGAACATATTTTGAATCATTTACTAAAATGTATGTGTTTTCTAATAAGGTCATGAAACATTAAATACCATTTCCCAGAGTCTGATTTTGTTTTTTGTTTCTTTTATATTGAAATTCTCATTAGAGGCCATGGCATTTACTCTTTTTGGTCATTCAGATCATATATGCAACAAAACAATATATTATCTCTATTACAGAGAATAATATCTAGACTCTGATTACTTGGGTATTAGACAATAGAAACACATGATCCATACGGAAAACCATAATAAAAGATGATACTGTGGCAACATAATTTCCTTAATATGTCTAATTAAAATAATCACAAGTAAGAAGTTCAGCATATCATATGGCATTGTTATCTGAACAATGGTAGATATCAAGGGAGAGGGTTGGGTTACCATTCCAGCTTTCGTAATCAACTGGAGTGGATAATATTACACACCATCATATCTATTCCACCTACAAATGATCAGGACCAGTCCAAAATTTTTTATGCTTTTCCAAATTATCAACTGAGTGAACATACAACTGCTTCAATGTTTGGAAACCACTATATTCATGAAATCAGAGATACAGGAGTATAGGAAAATAAATTTTTCATCGAATAGTGGAACGATCATAGGGACAACTGCATGGTACATGAATCGCATTTGACAATTGCATGATACCAAAGTCACAAATGGTATTATTATTATACAATTATGCAATCAATTAATTAGTGACTGTGGTAGGCAATTTACTAAAGTAAGATCATTATAATGTAAATAGACTGCTTTTGTTCATGCTCTGTTTGTAATAGTTATTATAACCTTTCTGTATGGTGATCTCCCCCGCTGGATGCAACATTCTGCATTTTTCCTTTCTGACAAGAAACATCATATTTGATCAAAATGCACTATATGTTCATCTTATTTTTCTGTGTTTTTCTGAGCTCTCAACCAGACACAAATGTCAATATTTCTCCAGCATAGGAGCAAATGGGTGTGACACACTCTAAAAAAATCTGAAAATTACAAGCAATCTTGATGAAAATCTCCCAAAATGGTGAAATATTGAGATATCTAACCAAAACAAGTAAAATCAGATTTAGTATCCTGTTGATAATTCATTTCTCTACATTTAATATACTGTTACAGTGTTGTTTTCAACAAGGAAGCATACTGTTACATTCAGTATACTCCTAGATGGATCAAGATGAAAAGGAAGATACTGTGGTTCATAATGATGGGTTGATTGTTACAACTGCTTAGGAAGATCAACTACAATATATAATGTAACCCTATTTACTAACTCAATCTCTATATGAGAGGTAGAGGAAATATGACACACATGCATCTTCAATATCTCTAATATTTCATCAATACATAAGGTATTACAAAAGATTATTCAAAGACATGATACTAAGATAGTAATAGGCCTATAGGATAATAGTTAGGACAGTGGGAGATGGTGTAAATTAATTTCTTTTCAAGGCAATGACAGAACAGGTTTGTTAAATTCTATTCAGATTTCAATTGAATTACAAATACAGTTTGTCAGAAATAAGATGATTATAACATGGCTATGCTGAATCTTAAATTCTATAAACTATGTGAGTTTCTGAGAAAAATAATCAATGTTGAAATATTTTGAACAGGCTTCTGCAGCTTATATATTAATAATATCCATGATTAACTAATATCTATTTGTGCGTGAAATTATTTACAGATGTGTTACGTAACACATATAACAGTTGGAATATAACTAGAGCGCAACAGACTATCCTTTTTGAAGACTCATACTCTTTTATTTTCGATAAATGTCAAACCTCATCAAGATAATCAGTACAAAATAGTGTGACTCTGATTGGTTGAATGCAAACCTGTTTAATGATTTGTTTTAGTCAAAGGGTAGTAACCTATACTTGCTGATCTTCAACAAAATATCTCAGGTCAAAGGGTATTTCTTAAATCTAGCCTGGAATCTCAAAATATCTTCATCATATATGAAAAACTCTTGATAGGCAGGGTGCCAGCCTAAATATCTAGTATTTGCTACTATATGTGCATCGGGTCAATCTTTTGATGTAGGTTAAATTAATTTGATTAATTATAGATGTAATAATATATGTGACATGTTGATTAAACATGAAATGATTATGTCATTCAACATATAAATCATATTCCTTCAAGAAGCATTCAATATAAAACACGATTCCATGATTTCTATATTATACCATGTGCAATTCCATGTGCATGAAATGCATTCAAATACAAATATTAGTATGGCCATCGATATGACAATATAAAAAATTCTGAACAACATAAAGAAATAAAGTGCATGTTTACAAAGATATAAAAGAACAAAAAGATGCATCATTCAATAATCATACTTGATCCATTTTATATCATGAAATTTTGTTATACTCACTAGGCTTATAGGTATAAAGCACAACTCTCTAAGCTAATGTTGCCAGTGTTGAGCACCAATGATCAGATTTCAAACGTGGAAGAATTACATAGACTTATATTTTTCATTAGGGGGACCCCGTCGAAATTAATCATGTGGGGTCACATCATTGTGGGGCTACTTTGACCATAGGGTTATTTCAACCATGGCTGATCATTCAAATTTCCTGGTTCGGCCATCGTGACGTTGGAGATTTCGTTAAAAACAAACATAGTGGACTGCATGAATTGAAATTCTACACCAATGTCGAAATAAATGTATCTCCATAAGGAAATAACCCCATGGTCAAAGTTCGACGCAGGGCCTCTACATTCAATTATTTTCAGTTTTCTTACTTCCTTATATCTAGTCTATCAAAAACCAGACTACTCTATAAACAATGATGAAAATAACTTACCATTATGTTCTGTAAATATATTGGTGCTATGAACAGTTGATGCACGTATGTTGTCTCTTGCTCCTCTTGATCTTGGACGTACAGATTGACTTCTTTGACTTTCTTTGCCTTGTTGTGCTCCCATTTTTTATTTTATTACTTTCCAATTTCGCTCGTCGAATTCAAAATCGAATTACTAAATAATTCCTAGTAAATAATCCATCAAAATTGAAGATATTTAGAGCGTTGGATCCATCTTGATGTTAGTAGAATTGCAGTATCTGATACCTCTCCGTTATTGAAGAAATGACTGTCTAAACTGATAGTCAAATTCTCAAAATTTTGTGGCCATATTGAAATCTCAGATGAAATCGAGGCTGAGACCCCTTCTTATCAAAACAAAATTTTAAACCGGAAGAAGATGTAGTCTAGAAGGTAAAATATTTTGTGCCCGGGATTTTGTGTACAGAGTATATTACTTCAAATTAGATAATATATGGTCCGGGTGAATATGTTACCTACTGTATAGCGTCCGGTGTGGTATTATTGGCTGCGAATATTTTGAATGTTTGCTCAAACCTTGGGTAGAGATTTTTGTTTTCGATTTTTGTTTTTTATCTGAGAAAATTTCTCACCTCTCTCAGTTTCTGATTTTTATTTGCATGTATGTATCAAGATTGAGTAGGCTATCAGGACCACTCGCTATGGCTCAGTGGCAGAGAGAGTCAAGGTTTCCAATATCGCTTGTCCCCGGGTTCGATTCCCGGTTCAGACAAGTTTGTTTGTGCGTTATGTAATTCTGGGTGTTTGAGTGGTTCACGACTCGTATAAAAGGCTGTGGTGTGTACCTGTATGTCTGTGTACCTGTGCACATAAAAGAAAACAGTGCTCCTCCAAGGAGGGGTTTCTGGCTCTATCTTCGAGTGTAAAATACGGAATATACCAAGAGCAATTGCTCGCCAAATATGGCGGTAACCAAGATATAATAATCACACTACCACAGGCAGGTTGTCGCAATTAATCGTACATCGATGTATCAGGAGTTTTTACGAGTAGAAAGCAATTTGCAAGTATAAAAAGCTGAATGCTGTGATTTTGCGAACAATTTATGTTCCGGGTATTGACATTAATAGCCCCTTATTGCAGAAGGGCCAGAAGCACTCCTTGGGTTTACAAAAAAGGCCGACCCCACCGACCACCTTTTGGCCGGTGTTTTCTACAGGTAGCCTCAAATCAGGGTTCGAGGAAAATGTGAAAAAGACCGACCATATATAAAAAGATCGACCAATTCGATTTTGAAGCAGCGCTTGCATTATTAGGTTAGAAAATTTGTGAGTCCCAAGGACACAATTTTTTTTAAAAAGTGTGTCCTTTGAAAAAAAAGTGTGTCCCCTATTTCTAGCCTGTTTTTAGGTATAACTTTATTTTAAAAGCATTTTTTTCCAAAACACCTTTCAGTTTTTGATTTCTTGCCGCAAATTTAAAATGGAAGTAAACGTTAAGTGGACTGAATAAATGCATGTTCGTTCATTCGACAATGAATACATTTTATTTCATGAATAACCTAATATTTGTTTCTGAATAGGAAAACTGTGGCGTGTCATGGTTTCAAATCTAAAAATAAACAAAGTCGAAAAAATTCGAGAGAATCATGATTATTTGTAAATAGTCAACATGTTGAGTCTTATTTACGATTCAAATAAAGATGAGAGATCATAGTTATTTGTTTTTGTTAGGTATCGTTGTAAACACATTGTAGTATTGACCTAAAAAAAATTTGCGTCCAAAAAACTGAAATATTTTCAATTTTTGCGTCCTCCAAATTATTTTTGAGTCCTTAACATGTACGGGACGCCGTTAATGCAAGCCCTGGAGGAAAATGTGAAAAAGACCGACCATATAAAAGATCGACCAATTCGATTTTGAATACATGTCAACCGTAGGCAACATTTTTTATCTATTTTTTCTTTTCAATTAAATTAAAATGGTTAGAAAGCAAGCAAACACTTCAGTTCCTGACCTCCCAACCCATTGTTTCTCCGTGAATCTATTCTAAATTTTTTACTGAAATTCAACATATTTGATTAAAATTATGTATTTCTAAAAAAATGATTTGTTATTGTCATACTGAGAACTGAACACAATGTTATGTTACTTACGCTCCCTTGTCAGGATCAAAAGTGACTAACCTGATTTAAGCACACCATTGGACAGCTATATTTGTCATATTGAATGTAGTTTTTTTACCAGATTGACATTTAACAACTGAGAAATCAGACATTATATATTAATCTTTAAAAAGATGATGGCATGATTTTAAAGACCAACAATATTAAGTGTGTTTTTGTTATTTTCATAACATCACTTAAATATATGACATAACAGACCACAACATTTTTCATGTGTGTTTTTCATCGTGATTTAAAATGGTTAAACGCAATAGATTTGCAAGGAATATTTCTTTTATCAAATATGTTCTTTTTATAAGGTTCACTGCAGTCACATCTTAGTCAACAATGATGCACTAGTACCATGATACGCTAACATGTAAGAACCTGAAGTGAAAGGTGGAGATGAAGAAACACCTTGCTACAGCTGTGTTTGTGCGTGTCTCCCACACAGCACTGACCCTGGGAGTACCTGCTACTCTGCTCGTCAAGAAAACAGGTGAGTTAAACAGTTAAAGGCACATATCTTTTGGACCAACCCCCGACCCTTTTAGTTGAATACATTTTTATATAAGCTGTTGAGGAAGAAAATATTGGCGCTTGTCCTTGGAGTCCGTAGATTGGTAAAATGCACTTGATCCAAAAACAAATTATCAAACATATTCTTGAATGGATACTTAATCTATTACTAACTTATTATCCTTGTCTTATCTTTCATTAGGCAAACTTTTATAGTATTACCTATTATAGGGACAATGTACATGTTGGTTTTGATTCTGTGTTGCATGACACAACCTGCTTAAGTGCTCATTGGAATATGTTGCATCGAGCTACTCAGACCTTCAAATGAAAGAGCTTATTTTATCTATGAATTTTGTTTATTTCCAGAACTGAGAAGTGCTTTGATAGATGGAGAGAATCTCCTGTATGGAGTGCTATATGTCATACTTCTTCTTACCTCACTGACATTCTACCATATAGCATGTGCTGTTGACCCAGGCTATGTACCAGATACTTATAAGGTAACTGATTCTTTTATATTTATTTTATTTTTTATGGATCATTTAAAAGGAAATGTAATTTTATATTAATATTTTCAATTTTCAGTAGGAAGTTCTAGGTAAACTCTTCCATCATGTCAATAAATCTTTTATCCTGGCCCCAGCAATATACAGTTGGGCAATAGAGCCTACGAGAGATGAAATAAGAGTGACTTTCTAAAATGTGTCAAAATTTGCAATTACTTTTTATGTCATGATGCCTGTAAAAAACAAAATATAAGAAATCTGTCCTTCTGTACATCAACTTTTGCCTTGTGACTACCATGCTTATTTTGTCTCTTTCTGGAGATATTAGCCTTTTTCACAATATGAGGTTACTCCATACATTGTGCTATTTCTACTGCAGTTGTATTTTCCAATATAATGTCTTTATTCCCTGTGACTGATATTCCTATGGTGCTTTGCAATTTTTGTCTATACTATACAACTGACTGAGATTTGCAACAATTGGAGTAAGATTTCTATGCAGCTTTTCACAGATTTGACAAAACCCATATGACAATGGTCTTTTCAATCCAGTATTCATCAAACCAAATTCTGGGGAAATTGAATATCTCCATTTAAAGAATTCGTTATAAAGATCACTATTGGCTGCAAGTTTCTTGAGATAGTTTGCCAACTGTGTTGGTGTTGAGAAATCATTGACATCAATGTAAGAGTTAGCTGGAAGGAATGCTCTGTAATTAGCCCCACCTAAAACAACTGGGACCAAGCCCCATAGAAATGTCCTCCAAATCTTTTCAGTTAAATAATTATCACATATTGAATTCTCAAATGCGAGATAGAACATATAAGGCTTGTAGAATTCCTCCTCACACTGCGTGCCTCTTTCGCATTTAAGATTCCCGCATTTCCCATAAATGTCAACTGGCATGTGATACTGTAACTCATTGATATAATCCTCTCGTTTACTTGGAGAAACGCAATGCCCTGAGCTGGCAAATAGAGCCAACTTTGTTTTGTTTTCAGCAAAGTTGTAACTATGGTGCAGAAGCATATTGTAATGATTAAAGTAAAGTTGGACATGACTGTCATTGTAACTTCCATAAGGCAACCAAATATCACTTGTGTTGAAATCATAACTCATCGTCCAGTTGAATAAACCTTCATATTTCTTCAGTAGGGATCTACGTGGGATTAACGGTGGTGGTTCTAACTCATAAAAAATCCAAACCTGATTGATATGTGAATGTGTGATCCCTACATCAAGTGTATGATACCATGCCCCATGAGGGAACAGAACTGCATCAGCCTGCTCAAAATCAGCTCTGTCTGTTGTGTGTTCACATTGGGCATCTGGACAAAGAGCAAACACATCATGCTCTTCATACTGGTTCAGTTTGCTGTTGTATTCACTTGGATGTAGCAGATTTGACCATGATAGAATGAGCTTTCTATTTGTTACATTAGTCTTCCTGGTAATTCTAGGCTGTTTTGTCATGCTATTCACTTTTGTCACTCTAGATTCTATCATGACATTGCCCTTTCTTGTTACACCAGACTTCATTGTCATATCAGACTTTTTTGTCACACTTGACTTTTCTGTCATATCAGATTTTAATGCGACATCACTTTCTCTTGTGAGGTCCCTTGTCACACCAAGCTCCTTTGCCACACTAGCCTCTTTAATAAAAGTAGATTCAAAGCTTGCTTGAAGTAGACAATGTTTTTTGATGGTTAGGTACTTATCTTGCCATATTAGAATATTCAAATAAAGTCCAATCAGGATTAATATGGGCAACAGCATAACCTTATTACATTTTTTTGAAAACATAATTATCATTTCATTTTAGTGATGGATTTCCTAAAATACATTTGGATTTGTGACAGGCCCTCTGTAATGATAAAACTCTATACAAAAATCATTGCTAAAGTTATTATGTTGTTGCTTTAGGAGAACCTATTCACTTGTGTTTTACTCCTCATTAAAGTACAATTTATCATTACTAATTGCTCTATTTTAAAAATTACCATCATTAAGTGCAACCTAGTAGAATTCAGCCATATTCAATTTGGTACATGTATATCCTCACTATGCTACAAGTCTAATCATGGGTTTTCTTGCCTTTTTTTATTCATGATATTCAAATTGTTTTTGTATACATTTCACCTCCACTCAATCAAAAAAAAAATCAAAAATCTGCTGTCACTAATGATAATATTATAACAACTATATTGTTGCAATAATTTATGAAGATTAAAGAATTATTTGTTTCTACAATTATTGCACTCGTAGATAATAAATCAAAAATGCATTGCACTGTATGAAAGTAGGTGATGAGTATTTTTGTGATATGATAGGTGTGCAATGTTTTCAGGTTATTTCATGATCATCTTTGAGATTAACAGCTCTGGCCTGTTCTTCTTCTATACATTATTTATATCTAGGCATTTAGAAAACATGCCAAGAAAGTCATTTGTGCTGCTTTTAATTTTCTGAAGGAGCTATCACTGGCCATAATTTAATTTATTGAATACAATGGCTTTTAATGAAGCAGGCTTAAAACAAGATGAAAATGTTTTATTTGTATGGATTCCCAGATGATTCTTTTAAACATTATGAACATTTATGCTTACTCTTACTCTATGTTTAGGTAATTGCAAATAATGATGATAGTGATGACGAAGATGACCTCAATGATGATGATAGTGAACATGGCAAGATGGTGAAGACCAAGCCAAGATACTGCGACTACTGCGAGATTGACGTAAGTTTACTTGATGTGATGTAAATTGTTTCAGTTACGTTACAAATACCCATGGGGAAAGTTTCTATAAATTAAACTAGACACTGTGAGGTCTGTGGTCACTGTGTGAGAAAGTTTCTATCAATTATATCTATGTTTGCAGGAACCTTTGAGGTCTAGGCACTGTGAGGTCTGAAGTCACTGTGTGAGAATGTTTCTATAAATTATATCTATGTTTGCAGGAACCTATGAGGTCTAAACACTATGAGAACTGTGGTCACTGTGTGAGAAAGTTTCTATAAATTATCTCTATGTTTGCAGGAACCTATTTAGACGCTGTTAGGACTGTGGTCACTTTGTTAAAAAGTTTCTATAAATTATATCTATGTTTGCAGCAACCTATGTGGTCTAGGCACTGTGAGGAATGTGGTCACTGTGTGAGAAAGTTTCTATAAATTATCTCTTTGTTTCCAGGAACCTATGAGGTTTAAACACTATGAGGAACATGGTCACTTTGTTAGAAAGTTTCTATAAATTATCTCTATAAAGTATCTCTTTGTTTGCAGCAACCTATCTGGTCTAGACATTGTGAGGATTGTGGTCACTGTGTTAGGAAGTTTCTATAAAGTATCTCTTTGTTTGCAGCAACCTATGTGGTCTAGACATTGTTAGGATTGTGGTCACTGTGTTAGGAAGTTTCTATAAAGTATCTCTTTGTTTGCAGCAACCTATGAGGTCTAGGCACTGTAAGGTCTGTGGTCACTGTGTGAGAAAATTTCTATAAATTATCTCTTTGTTTGCAGCAACCTATGAGGTCTAAACACTATGAGGAACATGGTCACTTTGTTAGAAATTTTCTATAAATTATCTCTATATAGTATCTCTTTGTTTGCAGCAACCTATGTGGTCTAGACATTGTGAGGATTGTGGTCACTTTGTTAGAAAGTTTCTATAAAGTATCTCTTTGTTTGCAGCAACCTATGTGGTCTAGACATTGTGAGGACTATGGTCACTGTGTTAGGAAATTTCTATGAATTATCTCTATGTTTTCAGCAACCTATGAGGTCTAGACATTGTGAGGACTGCGGTCACTGTGTGAGAAAGTTTGACCATCACTGTCCATGGCTAGAGACATGTGTAGGGGAGAGAAATCACAAGATCTTCTGGTTGTTCTTACTAACTAAAGTTGCAGTAATAGGCTGGACCTTATTAATTATATTGTGAGTCAGATAAGTATTCAAATGATTAGCCTCTATTTCTTGATGTTTGTAAGTAACAATTACTTAAGGACTTGTCATGACATCATGCTTATGTAACTGTATATTTAATATAATGTGAGTCTAGTTTTTAGATCAATCAAAACACATAGAACCAGATTTAATTTTAGTTTTATAATACACTTACAGTTTGAAATGAATTTGAAAAACTGATTTGTGTAAATATTTAAACAAGTACATGTACTAAACCAAACCTCAGGATGTCAGTTCACAAGGCAAGGATCTACTTGCTGTATGATCTCCTCAATGTAAAGCCTAAAATGCTCACAGTATGTTGAGGTCTTGTTAGTTTCTGTGTATTTGTCTCATGAATTTTTGTAGTTTGTTAAATGTGAATGTCTACATGTTAACCATTTTATATTTCAGTAATGCAATAGTGTACAAAGCAGCTTGGAATGAGTGGGGATATAGCAATGTACTGTATATAATAGACAGTCTCATTCTTGTCATAAGTGGCTTGGTTGTGATTGGCCTGTGGGGCTTCCATACTTATATCATGGGCACAAACATTACCACATGGGAGATGGTGTCACGGCGACGGATTACCTACCTCAAATACCTCGATGAAGATTTTAATCCATTCCATGAAGGATATATAAAGAATATTCTATATTTTCTCTGTGTTTGTAATGAAAGAAATTGGGAGATTGTTTATAGGAAAAATGTCAAGATGGAAAATTCTTACCAAATGGTGTAAATCCTGCATAATTGAATACATGATTCAAATGGTTTTCTAGTCATGCCTATTTAAACAGTGTCACTGTTCCCACTATAATACAGGGTGATCACTAAGTTCTGGGAATCGGTCTGTCATTTCAATATTTTTCAACCAATTCAGTTGAAACTTCCAGCAAATGTACATTGTATAATTCTGAATTGACAAACAATGTTTCATATACATATCACTTTTACAATTTATTTTATTGTAATTATAAAAAAAGTAAAAGTGGTCTGCGGGTCAGCAAATTTTGACTGATGTTAATTTGAAAATATCCTGCTAAAACATATTCATCTTGCCTAGATGGTTGGTTCAAACTTATTGTACTAGAGGCAGAACAGTACTGTTGAAGTCATTTATTCAGAAGTATTCTTCATTGCTGGAAGGATTATTTCATTTATAATGATTTCCATAGGTCTGGACGCCCATGCATCGTTGTCAAACCTAGTCCATAAAGTTGCTTTCCAGTCCTCCCTTTTGGTTACCCTTTAAAATTTGCTCAAGCTGTTGAGATCAGTCCCTCATCTGAACCAAACTTATGATGTTCTCTCATATGATTCTTTAACAGTCAAATTTAGTGAACCTAATGGTGGTTCATCTGGTGAACATTATATGGTTAATATGGGGCATGAACAACTTGTGTGAACCCTAATTCTTCAAGAGTAGTATGGGCAATTTGAGGAGTGGGAAGAAGCAAAGTCATAATGGAAGATAACTCCCCGCTATTTTGAGTCATGATTGTGACTTTGAGAGTCTGACCAATGATAAGAAAATTGAGCAAAGTTCACTCTTACATCACAATACAGATGCTACTTCAGAAACTATAGTTAGAAATATTTGAAAACATAAAAAATCACAGAAATTTGTCCACCAAATAGGTATTAATTAACCATACTTTTGGATCAAGTAAAATAAAAATGAATTCAAGTTTTGCTTGACCCGCTACGCCATTTGTCATGTTGCTATAGTAACAATAATTATCCATTGTGACGCAATGAAATTGTTTTATCCAACCCAAAATTATATTCTCTATTTACCTTGAAAATTTCAAGTAGATTGGTTGAAAAATAATGAAATGACAGATAAATTCCCAGAACTTAGTGATCACCCTGTATACACAAACATTAGAAATACAATTCAAAATAAACTATAAATTGTGCAAGTCTTGTGACCAAATTCCTGCAGTTTTTCACGAGCACTACAAGTGATTTTGGTCTCCTCGGATTTTTTTAAAAACAGAAGCCCCTTAGCAAAAGCTGGCTAAGGGACTGTTGTGCCATCATTAGACTTTATATATATAGCTTCTCTCCTGTAAATATTGCAATTTGAAAAGTTTGCTCATGTACTTAGTCAATAAATTGCCTTTTGAAACCTTATTTGACTAAGAGGCTTATTAAGTATAAGATCTTTTCTCAAGATTTCATTTTCAGAAAAAAACTGATCAGAAATTTAATACCTCAACCTCCATTGTAAACTGAAAGGGTAATCATCTTCTACCTCAGCAGTAATATGTTAACATGTTGTCAATAAAACATCCAAATATGTAAAATGTTCTCACCTTAATTTTGAAAAATTGGTGTCAAGAAAGAATTTCTGGCTCAACTTCTCCCCAAACTTTGTGTTTGAGACATTGAAAAATTATCCCAATCCTTAGATTAGTGAATGAAATTGACGACAGAAAGAAATGTTGACATATTTTGAGTCTGAGTGATATTACAGTATACATGTAAAACACTTCAAGCTAAGAAGATTTGCATTTTGTCATTTGCAAATACTGAATTTTCAGCACTTATGAGCTGAATTTTAAAAAATCAGCAAAATCATCAAATCCTCTTGATTTGTTGTACAGTGTACTTGGTTTTAATTAAAGCATAGATGAAAATTCCCTGATTGAATGAAGTCGCATATAAAGGGTAAGTTTAATGAAAGTGTGTATTAAATGTTCACAATCAAGGTGCATGAAAGGCATTTAGTACTTATGGTCTTGAGTTTATTATTATGTTGAATTATGCAGTGCCACATGTACAGTATAATAAATATTATTCAATCCATGTACTAAAATGATATACAAATGCAAGATTTGAAGGTTGTGTAATTGAATTTATGAAATCAATGCATTTTCTATAAAACATGTACTTACTGTTAGTAATATGATAATGTAATATAAACTACTGTTACTGTTAGTAATAAATATAATATTATACATGATATATGAATCTCCTGTTTAAGTGAGTACAAAGCAAATAGTGGGGGGAATTTAGTGGAAAATATTTCAAATGGTGATACAAGCAAATTTATTGGCTTAATCTGTTATTTAAACTATTTGGAAAAATTCTGTCCCTGTGGTCGATCAAACTGAACACTATTTCAGGAAAAAATTCAAGATGGCTGCCGTATATGTGTAATTCGATACAAATGACACTCTAGATTCATATATAGAGATAGATATGGTTTAAAATTATATTGATTCAGTAGTAAAGCATGTACATTATATCTAGAAATACAGTTACATTCATTAATGAGCTGAATTTGGGCAAAATGACTTTATATAGGGATTCTACAAGGTTCTATTTTGGGAGCACTCTTATTTTGCAACAACTTTAGTCATTAAACTTGTTTTCTCGAATAATGTTGATATTTCACACATAATTGAATCTAATATTCCAAGTTTACATGATAACACTGTCTTACAAGTACCAAGTCGACTTCGAAGGAGTCCCGCAAGGTTCTGCTACACTCCATTATTATCACAATCTCTTGGAATTCGGTGGAAATATTCAAAATTCCGATACATGCAAATTTATGGGCAAGTCAGTTATTTATGCAAATAAGAAAAATTCAAACCCTCAAATCAGTCAAACCTGATACTATTTCAGTAAAAAATTTACGGTTGTCGAAATATGTACATAATTCGGTAAAAATAACACCTTAGAAGATTCATACATAGAGATAATATGGTTAAAAAATAGGTTCACTCAGTACTAAGACATGCAAATATATTTAGAAATGCTATGATCTTCTTTGATTTGAATTTTGGCAAAAAGAGTTTTATATGAGTTCTTCAAGGTTCTATTTTGGCCCTCTCTGTGAGAACTTGAATTACTTTATAACATTCTCTAATACATTTAATATCTAAGACATAATTCAAGAATATATTTCAAGTTTGAATGAAAATATTGTCAACCGAGTATCAATGCAAACATTGAAGTAGTCTTCCAAGGTTCTACGGTCTACCTTAGTCCATTATTATCACAATCTCTTAATAGTATGATGAAATAAGGGCAGGCGGACAAGAACTTTATTTTTTTAATTATCAATTATACAGAATTACATGTGGAATTGCACAATACTGTACATTTAAGTACAGATTTTTTACAAAAGCAAACTAAACATGTCTAGAGACTTGCTGGGTTTAGAGCCCCGTGTTGAGTTGTCTACAGTGAGGTCAACAGTAAAGGCCATGTGATGTTGCAGCTATAACACAGCTAATAGCAGAAACAAAGCAACACAAAACCAACTTGCCAATTGTATGGCTTGATATAACTAAGGCAGCAATGTACCACACAAATGAACTCAACAGCTTTGAAGCATTATAATGTTCCTCAACATGTGATTGGCCTTGAGATAGAGCACCTTGAAGGTATTCAGTTGAGATTCTCGACTGAAACAATCACCACTGGTTGGCAGCCTTTAGAGAAGGGAATCTTGGCAGGCTGCATATTACTATTCATGGCAGCTACGAACATCCTTCTGAAAGGAGCCACAAGGAGTGCAATGAATTTAAAATGAGAAATGGTAACCCACATCCAACATATTAGTATCACGTTTTCATTGATTGATGGGGTCACTCTAGCAAATGACATTGAAATAGCCATTCTGTGTATCTTCACTGAACTAAAAAATCATATCAAATGTTGCAGTTTCCTGGAAGCTCCCTGTCATTTCCTTATAGAACAGTAAATGACACAAAACTTACCCAACTGACTAGGCAAGGCAGGACGGCCTAATAGAACATCCAACATATTGACCCAATTGTCACAAGTACTTCAAACTGCCTAAAGAGTCCTAAAGCAACATATGTGATTCAGGCAACAGATTGGAAGGTGACTAATTGTAATGACTATTACAATGAGACTCCTTTATTGCCCAAATGACTTGATTGTCATCACATCAGAACAATATGATAGTCCCTTTCCTGGCTGTTAAATTCTGCTGGAGTCACAGCAACAGAGTGGAACAAGGGTCTCTTAGAAATAGGCCAAACAGAAAAATGGTGACTATGGCTGCATTGTGATGAGCTGGCTGAATAACTGAGTGAGGTTTGATCAACCTGTTTTCTAACCTCTCTGAGTTTGTATGCAGATTTAGGGGTAGAAGCAGAAAAATGGAAATTAAACTGACATAAAAGACTAAAGCTGCTAATCACAACAAAACCTGAAGGACAATAGTGCCACAAGCAATGATACTCCATTGTTTAAACGTCAAAATTCTGCAATTATTTTCTTGCTGGTGTCAAAGTAATGGTGTTGTAGTTGTAAAACATGGTAAATACATTGATAAATCTGCAAAACTCACTCAGTACTCAATGTTCAGTTGTTTTGGCAATTTCAGTTGTTTTGGCAATTTACACAAATTGATTTTGTTGTAAATAAGTGCATTTGTAAGTGTAAAGAATAAGAAGGGTGTCAAAAGTGAAACTTAAACGGCTCCTATGTAATAATGACTTTTAAAAACTGTTTTTGTTGTAAATTAGTGAATGTATTTTCCTAATTATAGAACAGTAGTACCAATGGTGTTAAATTCATTTAATTAAATAGAGTATCCATTGTACCAATTTGTGAGTATACAAAATAAGAAGGGTGTCAGGAATGAACCTTGCTTAACTTCTAATTATTTATTTTGACTTGAGTACAGTAACAGTATTATGTTTTATGTGTGTATGTATGTTGTATACCACAGCTCTAAACATAGAGATAAACATGTCTAATCATACTCTGTTGAAATCATAGCAACCTCTCTATTTTATGATTACATTACATAGTGATACATGTACTACATAAACATATAATCATATACATATATAAAATATGTTGTGTCCTATATAGTTATAATAATCATATTATAATATCCCGTTACCTTTGAAGATGGTCTGAATGTACTTATTTGTTTTCTGTTGATACCTGTTTCTAACTTAATCCTACAGAATGATAAAATTGACCACAACTTCCTTTTTTCCAATTTTATGGGGTAGGGTACTTTCAACGCTTTTTAAAAAATACTTTCAATTTTTCAATAATTGAAATCTTCATATTGTAGTATCAGGCAAAGTAATTAGATGTTTTTTAAATAATAATTAATGTTATTTGTCATTGCATTCTTTATTTGAACCTAGAAAATGAACATTATTTCCCATTTTACGCCAAATCGTCACACTTTGGGGCCATGGGAGAGGGCTAAAATTCAGTTTAAAAATTTGAAAAAATTCACATGACTATTTTCACCTTAAAGAACAACATTTCACCATGAGAGCATGAATTTTCCTAAAAAAAAAAAATTTGCCCACCCTACATGTTATTTAAGTCATACTTTGTCGGCCATCTTGGATTTTGGGGGGAAGAAGTGAAATATTCCGTCGATCACAGGGACAGATTTTTTGAAAAAGGTTTTAAGAAGCAGAAAAGCCAAAGTTTATACTTGTATCACCATCTGAAATATTCTGCCGAATATAGAGGTAAATTCCCCCAACTGAAATCACAAAAGTAGAACATCAAGAACAAATACTCAATAATAAGCTGGATTTAGAGAATTGGTTCATATCTAGAACGCATATTAAACTTGTAGAATGAAAGCTTTTTTGAAAGTTTGAAATATCTAAAAGTTTGTTTGGAAAGTCCAGGATATACCTTTAGTATCATCTTATAAGGGTTAAAGCGTAGCTGGGTAAAATATAATTTTTGGAAATAAAAATGGACAAGAGTTAATCAGAACAAGCAAATGTGAAATAATAAAATACAGAATTAAATAATTTATACAGAAGTCAGTTGAGTATGTGCGGGGAGGGGTATCAACTAGAGACAGGTGTTCATTAGAGAGAGGTGTTCACTTAGCCAGGTTTTACTGTAACCTTAATTCTCCTGTTTTCATGTCACCACCACAAGTAGTGATATATTGTTGGTCTCCAGCTTGTTTGTGGACAGCAGTCAGTGTTTGTAACAAATGGCAGGTGGTGATATTTTGCATGTTAATGCCTTGTTGTTCTTACTTTAAAAATCTCTAATCTAGGCATGGGTTTTTGGAGAGTCCAATTTATTCAATATTTCGATGTATCTTGGGATCCCCAATGCACAGAATATCAATATTTACAGAAACAATATAATGTTTTCATAATCAATTTTTATTGATATTATCACTTGACAGTAAATAGATACAATTTTTATGTTTGTAAAATCCAACACAAAGACAAACTGACATTATTTGATCACATTATCATTGCTAATTTTATTAAAGATAAATCTTTTGATAAAATTTCAAATCAGAACAACTCAAGAGACACATCTATTGCTTTTCCCAGGTTAAACCTCTCACCCAACAGAAATACTTTTAGTATATGTAATTTGAAAATGATTTAGCTAGTAAATTCCTGATACAGATAAAATCAATATTCAGCGAGAAGCCACATGAATACATAATTTCGTTGAATACATCATGTTGCACTGAACTAGCATTGCGGAATATTGTAGTGATTCATATAAATAAAAAACTACAAATAAGAGAGATCTGGCAAATTGTGCATAAATAGAGATACATAAGACATTCTGAAGAATCCTGGCAGAAGATTCTCCAATATAATGCAGCAAGTATCTTGAAATGTCTATTCAGCAAATTTGGAATCATATTTTTTTATTGTCTGTTAAGTAAAGTCTACTGCATTGTGTTCAGCATTGCAATCCCATTGGTTAGTTTCTCTATCTCAGCATTTAGATCATTCATCTGCAAATAAAAAAGTATTGTGTACTACCCTGTATTACTGCGCTTTTGTGTGCTTTTTTATATTTACTTTGTTTTCTTGTTTACACTTCTTTTAAAATTAACATAATATACAGATAGCATTTTTATAATTCTCACATTTTTCACTATGTAGTTTGTATCTCTGAAAAGTTGACATTCCCTATTAAAGGGAAGTTTGTTACATTTAATAATTGAAAATCAAAGATACATTTTAGAAATGGCCCCCTGACAGATTACCTTCTCAGCATTGAGCTGTCTGACATTTTCTGGAACCTTTGTTGCATAATCCGCTTTCTCTGAGGCACCCTGTAGTTTATTGTATGAGGCTACCAGCTTCATTTTATTTGACTCTAGCTTGGTGACCTCCTTGGCAATATCAATAAGACCCTAAAATACATAAAGTGCAATGTGAAACCTCTGTCTTTATAGTATGACATTCTTTACAGTTAAATACAATTATATCCTTACATTGGTAGATCGGGTCCTCTAGTCAGGCTATGTGAGAGGTATCATGCTTAACATGGGGTTATACTGGTATTAAACTAAACGTTGGTTTATCTGTATAATGCTGAGCCACTTGAAATCTTTTTTAATTTCCATCTAATACCTTGAGCTTCATGTAGACCTGACAGTTTGCCGACACGCTGGCTATTGCACATCCCTCAGGTACAGGCGATGATTCAGCTAATATTTCCACACCTCCTGCACTGGAGAGTGTCTTGATGACTTCTGTGTGCTTAGAGAGGGTTTCTCCTATGTTACTGTTGTCACAGTGCAGGAACACTACAATGGCAGTACACAACAAGGGTAAAATAGTTTTAATACAACACTACAATAGCAGTACACAACAAGGGTAAATTACTTTTAATAAAACACTACAATAGCAGTACACAACAAGGGTAAATTACTTTTAATACAACACTGCAATAGCAGTACACAACAAGGGTGAATGAGTTTTAATACAACACTGCAATAGTAGTACACAACAAGGGTAAAATAGTTTTAATACAACACTGCAATAGCAGTACACAACAAGGGTGAATTAGTTTTAATACAACTCTGCAATAGTGGTAAATAACAACAGTACATGTATATAGAACAACAAAATGAGATACAATTCAAATTGATTTGTCGTGATTTGTCGAAATTTTAATTCAGTATATAATTAATTCACTTGTTTCCAATACTACATATATTTTTCTTGCAGGAGGAGAGGATTTTATTCTATATATTTGAGGTTTCAGTTACATAACATACAGGCATGTATTTCATACCTACTGAGGTTCTAGGTACATAACGAGCGGGAATATATACTGTATCTAGCCAAGGCCCGGGGCGGGATGGATACACGCTGTATCCATCCCGGTCCCGCTCCTGAATTTTTTTTTCAAATTTATTTTTGAATTTTTTCAATTTTTTTAAAAAAATTTTCCCCATTTTTCCAAAAAATTTTTTCACATTCTTTTTCAAAAATTTTTTCACATTTTTTTCAAAATTGTTTTTCAAATTTCATTTTTCAATTTTTGGATAAGGTATATGACGTACCTAGAACATCAGTAGGTATGAAATACATCTGTTATGTACGATCGGTTTTGGATACAGGGTTTATCCCTCGGGAAATATGTGTATATCCCTCGGTCCCTGCGGTCCCTCTGGATATACACATATTTCCCTTGGGATAAAACCTGTATCCAAAACCTCCCAGTACATAACCCTTATATATATTATATCTATCAAGGGAGGTGGATATTATCTGTATCTACCTCGAGATATATATGAAAATCTGCCAAACTAATTAGTTGCCAATGTTTGTAAAATGATTAGAAATACAAACAGTCATATATATTGTATCTATCAAGGGAGGTGGATATTATCTGTATCCACCTCGAGATATATATGAAAATCTGCCAAACTAATTAGTTGCCAATGTTTGTAAAATGATTAGAAATACAAACAGTCATATATATTGTATCTATCAAGGGAGGTGGATATTATCTGTATCCACCTCGAGATATATATGAAAATCTGCCAAACTAACTAGAACAACGGCAACGCCAAAGCGTAGCGAATCCCATCGAACAGAAATGGCTGGCAATTTTGCAAAAGAAATATAAAGCAAACATCATAAAACAACACACCAGAAAGGCCACCATTTTCAAAATGGTTGCTCACTAGCCAAGTTGTTATCAGAAGAAATAATATGCTTTTAAGTAGCCACCTATAAAATCTTTGAAAAATCGCATACATGTACTTGTAAAATAACACACATAAAAATGGTGGCCATTTTTCAAAATGGCTGACTACTCCCCAAAGTTTTATTAGACAATGTGCCATGCTTAAATTGTTCACATTCAGATTGCTCCACTACTTTTCGAGTTATAGTAAAAAATGTAAAAATGACAGCCATTTTTATAAAATGGCCGCCTACTATCTGAAGTGTCATGAGACAGTGTGCAAGGCTCATGAGTATTCACATATCAAATATGAACAAAATCGCTTCACTACTTTTCAAGTTATAGTAAAAAACGTAAAAATGGTGGCCATTTTTCAAAATGGCCACCTACTACCCAAAGTGTCATTAGACAGTGTGCCATAGTATTCACATATGAAATATGAAACATACCAAATATGAACAAAATCACTTCACTACTTTTCGAGTAATAGTAAAATACGTTAAAATGGCGGCCATTTTTCAAAAAAAATTTCAAAATGGCCGCATTCTACCAAAAGTGTCATAGGACGGTGTGCCATGCTTATAGTATTCACATACCAAATATGAACAAAATCGCTCCACTACTTTTCGAGTTATAGTAAAATACGTTAAAATGGCGGCCAGTTTTCAAAATGGCCGCCTTCTACCAAAAGTGCCTTTAGACAGTGTGCAATGCTTATAGTATTCACATACCAAATATGAACAAAATCGCTCCACTACTTTTCGAGTTATAGCAAAAATCGTGAAATAACGAGTAAAGGCCGCCATTTTTCAAGATGGCTGCCATGTGCTTCTTTAATGTCTACATTTGTAGCTTTATTAATGTCCTTCATAATTTTTTACATTTAAAACATATTGCTATTACAGTTTTACATATTGCACCTAAATTATTGTAAAACCGGCACTAAAATGGCCGCCATTTTGAACGGATGTACGGACGGACGTACGTACGTACGGACGGAGGCGTTCCCTATATCCCTCCGAACTTCGTTCGATGGGATAATTAGTTGCCAATGTTTGTAAAATGATTAGAAATACAAACAGTCAGATATATTGTATCTATCAAGGGAGGTGGATATTATCTGTATCCACCTCAAGATATATATGAAAATCTGCCAAACTAATTAGTCGCCAATGCTTGTAAAATGATAAGAAATACAAACCTTCTGGTTTAATCTTGGTGAGGTTATAGTCTGACCTCATGGAGCGAATCGTCTTAATTACATTTTGGGAAAATTCTATGTCAGCTTCTAATGCCTCATCACGCCAACAGAACTAAAAAAGATGTGATATTTAACATATGAGGTATCTTTCAATATTTCCCCTGAAATTATAAATAAGAGATGCTTATATACCTCATTAGATTTTCATGTTTGTTGAAGTATTCTAAAGCTGGTCAACAATGATATTTTTCAGAGCTTATGCTTATTTGCTTTTAAATTCTTTTGCAACTGCTATCAACAATTCTAAATGATCAAGAACTCCTTTTAATATGATACAGACATACAATCGATCTTCAAATACATGAACTGTGAACATTGAATTGGATACCACCTCTATAAACAGATTTACAAATAAAATACTTAGAGCACAATACCTGGCTTGTTTCAGGATAGGGGGTTACACATATACTTGGGGGTTCATTTTCTCCCCTTCTGGGTAGTCGCTGGAAGAGTTCTTCAGATACGAATGGCATGAAAGGATGAATCAACCTTAGTGCCACGTCTAGACATGTGTAGAGAACATTACGTGAGATAGCCTTAGCAGACTCATCATCTCCATATAAGGTGTTTTTCAGACTTTCCTGAAAAATACAAATTTCGTTGCATATTTTCATATAAAAATTAAACTTTCCATGTATATATACCTAGATTATTGGTTAATTAATATTTTAAAGATATAAAGAAAACTCAATGAACAACATCTTTTGCATTTTAAAAAGTATGTCACCAAATGTTTTTAATACCATGCATTGCAGAAAATTATTAAGGCTCAACTTAAAATCAATGCAAATTAATGTATTCTTTGCGCAAAAGTGAAATCTATTATGCAAAATGGGACATCAATTATGAAGCCATTAATTTTTGAACATACAGAAGTACCTTAAAGTACATGTATTTATAGATATTTAGGACTTACTAAGTAGACATCACATAGTTCATAAAGCCAAAAGTTGTAACATGCAGTAGTCGTACTCTGGAAGTCATATTTGGCAAACCCTTCATCACAAAGTTTAACAGCTGCAGAGAGACGACTCAAGATCCATTTATCCATCAATGTCTCTTTTCCACACAGCTGAAAGTATATAAGAATCTTAAGTTAAAAGGCAACGTGTTAAGCTCGAAAATATGTCTTAATCATCAAGGTAGTACTTTTTATGCCTTGAAAAACTATTTAAGAGATTTTTTGAAAATTGATTTTTGAAAAAAGGTGCTCATCTTATAATTTTCAAATTTTATGAATTTCCCGCCATTTTAGAAACAAACGTTTTTCAGATCATTAAATACTACACTATTCTCAACTCAATTGATAAAAGTTATATTATTTCAACCATTCAATCTATGATTTTATGCACAAATGAACTTTAAATCTTGATATCACAATGATACATATTGATGTCATATTCAGGTGGCAAAATGTTTTTCAAAAATTGTAAATATCCTCAAGATATGCTTTACTTCCAAAATAAAGGAATATTTTATATATATTTTTTGAGACACCACTTATGGGACAATTGAAGACTTTATTTAGACACACTTTACATAACAATAAAATTGTATGTGTCCATTTTGTTATAAAGAAGTACAGTAACATCCTCATAACCAGGTGGAGAGTGGACCAAATGCTGTTACTCACTTAGCCAAAACCCAATTGTCACTTAATATCAATTAAATTTCCCTGTTTATTCTTTCCATATTCAACCTCATTTTACATTTAATATTACATTTGTTCAATTTTTTAATAAATATTATGAGCCACTTTCAATGATCTATTGTAAAATAATTGCAAAATGGTAAAGAAAAGGTGACTTGGTTTAAGAAAACATACCCGCTTTATTCTATAATAAGCAGTTGCTATAGCTTCGTTCAGTGCACATTATTTAAAATATTAGATAAGTTCCCAGAAGTAATTATACATGCATCAGCATAAATAAACAAGTAAAGAATAAAAATGTATGTGTTTGTTGGCTATGGAATTAATAAACAATGTAATATAAGTACAAAATTTTGCATAATTTAAGTTCAATTTCAGGATTAAAATTTCAGTTTACAACATTGGATGACATCATGAGATATCAAAAATAAGGACATTTATTCCAAAATGTACACGTATTTGATAACGGACATATTTGAAGAATACATTTGAGAGAAAATGTCTGTTTACATGTATCCATCAGAGCTATACTTTAGCCAGGACAGCATCAGGCCTGTCAACTGTCCCGCAATTTGCGTATTTGTCACGCATTTGCTGAAGAATTTGAAGTCACGCCAGTTATTTTTGCGTGACAGAAAATGTCACGCAAATACGCATTTTACCTGGTAATTGTCAAGCAAAAATATTTCTGTAGAAAATTTTCTACAAAAGATCGTCTACACAGCAAAAATACGAACGACGGGAAAATACGTACGCATTTCGTTCGGACTTTTCACGCGAATTACGGATATGTCACGCATTCCGTTCGAAATTTTTTGATGGATATTTTGAACGCGAACGTAGCGAGCGCGAAAAATTTGAGGTGTTCAAAATTTGGCAAGATGTAATAAAATTTAAACCAAGGTGTTCAAAATTTGGATCAAGGTGTTCAGATTTGGACCAAGGTGTCCACATTTTGAGGGGAGGTGTTCAACATTTCCAAGTCACTCATATTAGGTGTTCCCAAGTTGACAGGCCTGCAGCATAGCATGTAAATTCACGAATGGCAAACTTTTAAGTGAAACATTCAATGAGATAATTGCTGGAAATTTGAACCCAAACCAGAACAACGGCAACGCCAAAGCGTAGCGAATCCCATCGAACAGAAATGGCTGGCATTTTTACCTACGAAATATAGCAAATATCATAAAATAACACCCATATGAAAGGCCACCATTTTTAAAAAAGTTGATCACTAGCCAAGTTGTCATCAGAAGAAGCAATATGCTTTTAAGTAGCCACATATAAAATTCTTAAAAATCGCCAATGCTGGCCATATTTTAAAATGGCCGCTTACTACCCTAAATTCATATGACAGTATGCAATCCTTACTAGTATTCACATATCAAATATGAACAAAATCGCTCTATTACTTTTTGAGTTATAACAAAAAATGTAAAATAACACACATAAAAATGGTGGCTATTTTTTAAAATGGCTGACTACTCCCCAAAGTTTTATTAGACAATGTGCCATGCTTAAAGTATTCACATATCAAATATGAACAAAATCGCTACAATACTTTTCGAGTTACAGTAAAAAATGTAAAAATGACAGCCATTTTTTGAAATGGCTGCCTACTACCCAAAGTGTCATTAGACAGTGTGCCATGCTTATAGTATTCACATATAAAATATGAACAAAATCGCTCTACTACTTTTTGATAGTAAAAAATGTAAACTATCACACATAAAAATGACGGCAATTTTTCAAAATGGCCGCCTACTACCCAAAATGTCATTAGACATTGTGCCATGCTTAAAGTAATCACATACCAAATATGAACAAAATCGCTCCACTATTTTTTGACTTATAGTAAAAAATGTTAAATAACACACGTACAAATGGCGGCCATTTTTCAAAATGGCCGCCTACTACCCAAAATGTCTTTAGACATTGTGCCATGCTTAAAGTATTCACATACCAAATATGAACAAAATCGCTCTACTACTTTTCAAGTTACGGCAAAAATCGTAAAATGACGTGCAAAGGCAGCCATTTTTCAAGATGGCTGCCATGTATTTCTTCTATATTTACATTTCTAGCTTAATCAATGTCCTATATAACTTTTTTACATTTAAAACATATTGTTATTACAGTTTTATATGCAGTACCTAAATTACTGTAAAATCGGCACTAAAATGGCCGCCATTTTTAAATGAGCGGCCATTTCGAAAATCGGTTTTCAAGCAGAACTTTTACTCCCATTAGGTATATGTGTACAAAATATGAACAAAATCGGGCCAACGGTATTTGAGTTATTGCCCGGACGGACGGACGGACGGACAGACGGACGGACGGACGGATGGAGGCATTCCCTATATCCCTCCGAACTTCGTTCGATGGGATAATGAAGATATACACCCACTTAAAGGATTATCCCAGTTATCCAGGGCGGCCATTTGCTTTGGCATGCAGGCGTCTCTATATTTATCAAGAGCTTGAAAAGCTTGATGTCATACGTAAAGTCAAGGTGAAAGTAAGAACCTTGAAAAGCCAGCAACATAGAGCACAGAATTTCACAACAACAAATGGTGGAGTTTCTATTGAACGAAGGTGCTGGCCAAATCAGGCAGGCCGATTTAACAGAGATCAAGTCCGAGGCTGGAACTATTACAAGAATAAATATGGCTATGGGAATTGGCAAAAATGTGTAACATCAGGTAATGCTATTATTCTTTTGAAAAGGTTAGAAATCATCAAGAATCTTATTGTCTCTTGTAATGAGTCTTAAGGAATATAATTAGTTTCCTTCTTAATGAAAATAAAGAGGATGTTTTTTGGATACATTCTCCATTTTTTAAAACATGAGTGGGCATTATTAAACAAATTTCCAGTTTATGAAATGATATGATATACTTTGTATGACTTCAGCTGGTAGGCAGAACGGACCAGACCAATATGGTGGTGGAGAACACGAAGCAAATGATGACTCGTGGTGTACAATTATATAAAATCTGGTACAGATGCCAACCACATTCTGGGACAATCAAGGACTTTTGAGGACCTATTTTAATTTAATGATCTATTGTAAAATAACTGCAAAATGGGAAATAAAAAGGTGACTAGGTTTAATAGAACACTCCCCCTTCTCTCCACTAAAAAGCAATCGCTAGATTTGTTCAGTGCACATACAAAAATATAGTTCTGAGAAGTAGTATATGCATGTACAGTATATAACAGTATAAAGGTTCTCCAGCTCTAAGGGTCTAAGGGGAGGCATCAAAAGTTCAATGTTGGATCAGAAACTAAATAAATCTAGTTTTGAATCTGACCCCCCCCCCCCTCCCCCAAAAACTAAATACCATGAAAGTTGATCGCTGACTTCCGATTTGAGAATTTAAAAATTAATGCTGAACACAAACTAGTTTTTGTTAATTCCTATCGTAATTTGCGGCTTTTAACAACTATTGATAGAATAGAATCCCTTGGAATGATCTTGACGAAGAAAGCATCGGGTAAAATCTTTATTTTTAAACCATTCCAAGGCATTCTGAGTCAAAATTGCCAAAAAATTCGAAATGTTGAAATTTGTCGGATAGCAAACTGAAATGGGTTTGAACCCCCTCCCCCCTAACTAGATTTATTTAGTTTTCTATCCGACATCAAACTTTTGATGCCTCCCCTAAGTAATCAATAAAGTTGCAATGACTTTTTTCTCTATAAGGGATATCATAAACCATGTTTATGTATGAAATGTCCGAAGATAAAATTCTACTTGGTATTCCTAAAGATGATGTTCATACTCATTGCAAAAAAGTGTTTACATAAAAATACTCATTACAAAAATAATGATTTAAACCATAATTTCAAAATGGATGCTCCAAGGGAGACATTATCATGTAATTCATCTTGTTACTTGATGTTAATTAGTGTTTAATGATGTAATTTTGAAAAATCTGAAATAAATCAAGAATTTGAAAGTACCTTGGCATTTCACATCTGAGCGATTGCCTCATAATCTTCATGCTTACTATTACGACAAATTCAACAGTGGTGGAAATATTTTTAAGCATCTGTCAGACCTATTCTTTAGTCAGAATAATATTTAAGTGAAACAATCAATGTGATAACTTAAAATTTAAACCCAAATGGAGAGATACCAAAATTACAATGGTGGAGAATAAAGGAAGTCATATGCTTCGCATGCAGGTGTTTCTATATTCATCAAAAGCTTATATACAAAGTCATTAGGCAGAAGTTAATACCCTAGGGAACTAGTAACAAAGAGATTTTCACCATGACAATTGACTGAATTTAACCCCTATAAGTGAAACATTTTCTTAGTGGAACACTTCTTAACAGAACCAAGAGTGTTCCACTTACACAAGTTTTGCTGTACAGAATATCTATATCTGCTATTCAGGCCTTAGTCTAGGAATAGATATCAATAGATCTCTTAATATTGATAAATTCTGGGAAGTACTTGACTCATATCAACACTGGGATTCCCCTTATTAGAATACAATTATGTTTGATTTCTAATAGACGTGGCTGTTTGTGATTGGTAAAAATAAACTTTACATAACCATTGTACACAGTATTTACACAGTTTTTGATGGTGAGAACAGCAAACATTTGAGAGAAAATGCCTTCTAAAAAACACCGTTATAACAAGCTAAACAATGATGATGATATTTACATGTATCCATCAGAGCTATACTTCAGTCAGGACAGCATATTGGGTACATTCAAGGGTGGCAAACTCTTAGGTCAAACATTCAATGAGATAATTGAAGGAAATCGGAACCCAAATAAACATATACCCCCTATCACGGTGGTAAAGGATCATCCCGATTATGAAGGATTGCCCTTTGTATTTGGATGCAGGCGTCTCTATATTTACCAAGAGCTCGAAAAGCTAGATGTCATACGCAAAGTCAAAGTGGAGATTAGCAGTTATGATAGTCAGCAACACAGAATAAAAAACTTTACAACAAAAAATGATGGAGTATCTGTTGAAGTGAAGTCATATGCAGGCCAGTTCAACAAAAATCATGCTCACGGTTGGAATTTCTACAAGAATCGATATCACTTTAGGGATTGGGAAAAGTCAGGTAATTAAAAGCAATTATATGTCCTCTGTAAATTTGAAATCTCATTTATAAGATAAGATTAAGAACAAGAGACAAGCATGTTATATATCAGACTAAATACAAGCCCTTGTCAGTGCACTACAGTAAAACCTGTCTAATAACCGAGATGCGAGTAGAAATAATCTTGATTTACGTCATTAAAAACTCAAAATTCAGTCAAACTAATATCATATTTGAAATCTACATGTAAAATTACATCTAGAAATGTGGTTTTAAAAAGTGTTTTTCAACTTTTAAAAATTAATTTTCTTTGAAAATGTGACTTCTAGCTCGGGGAGATTTCCCATAGACCCCATGCTATAAAATCACAAAAAATGAAATATCTTTTCATTTAGTGGACAGATAATATTTTGCTTTACTGGACATATTTTCATTAGTATAAGTATCAGACGCATAAGGGTTATATGAAAATTGAGCCACTTAAATTGATAATATTCAAGTTTAAGGGAACTTTCTCATATACCTGCCATGTTAATTGACCCGAATCAGCCACCTGGTGGTGAAACTGGTAACTACCTACTCGCATTTGGGTAATTAGAACACCATTTGGGACCGACTAAAATCAGTCAGATAAGGAGGTGTTCACATATTAAGGTTTTTGCATTTTATTTGTTAGATTCTGGATTTTCGAGATGTATGAGCAGATTCTCAATAAATATTTACAGTTCTATTAGGCCACGTAGCTTTATGGCATTCCAATAACTTGAAAATCAGATTCAAATGAATTAAGTTAAATTAAAGACATTTTATTATTGAAACCATTCAATGTTTTTCTAAAAGTTTTGATATCATGATAAAACAGTTACCAAAAGAAAATATTTGAGCAATATTTGGAGGAAACATTTGACACTTTATGAAAACTGTTCAGACTAAGACAGGTTAATTTTACAAAAATGACTGTTCATTGTTTGAATTGGGAGGTGTTCTCATTGTAAGTTTTTTTAACAAAAGAGTCAATGTGAGGAAAAATGGGACCGAAAAGAAGAGTTCAAACTGGGGGGTATATTAGCCAGGTGTTCAGATATACAGGTTTTATTTAAAAAATAGTTTTATTTGACATTTAGTGAATGCTTTTAGTACTTCCTCACCTTTGAATACACTCATCATGTTATCTGAGCAACATTTAATTGTGACAAAATCAGACCCAAAAATCTTGTTTTTTAATAATGTGGGATGACCTCAGAATTTCTTTTCAAAACCAACATATTTCTTTGGTTCCTACATTCTGGAAAACTAGATGGGCTGCCCTCATTTTATAACAAATGAATGCTCCCTGGTATACCAGGATAAGTATATTGCTAGTAAAGGAAACACAACAAAATGTTAACGGAGTACCAATTAGATTTTCACTTCCATGTTTTGCAAGTGAAAATACTCCATGTGTTTGCACCCTCTGAACTGGTGAAAAATGTCAGATATTTATGATAATCAAATTGTCTGTCAGATGACTAAATTTCAAGAATATTCCCTCATCACCCACAGTTATTCCATAATAGTATTCCATGACAATTTTTGAGGACACCTGGTTTTTACTTTATCATGCTGTATGGTGTATAACATTCCTCTCTTTCATGGTTTTGATTAAATATTTAGGATCCTGAGAATGAATCAAATGCTACAAAAGAGCATTAGCGATACAAGTAAAAAACTGTTTTAATGTTACATATAATTCCAGCTGATAGACACAAGCAATCCAGATCACAACACAACAATCAACCAGACACAGACTCACAGGATTTCACGACAGCAAATGAAGAACCAGAATCATGCTGTCAATGTACAATCATGTAAAAAACTAAAAACAAGAATAAATATGGCTATGGGAATTGGCAAAAACGTGTGATGTCAGGTAATGCTATTATTCTTTTGAAAAGGTTAAAAATCATCAAGAATCTTATTGTCTCTTGTAATGAGTCTTAAGGAATATAATTAGTTTCCTTCTTAACGAAAATAAAGAGGATGTTTTTTTGGATACATTCTCCATTTTTTAAAATATGAGTGGGCATTATTAAACAAATTCCAGTTTATGAAATGATATGATATACTTTGTATTACTTCAGCTGGTAGGCAGAACGGACCAGACCAATATGGTGGTGGAGAACAAGAAGCAAATGATGACTCTTGGTGTACAATTATATAAAATCTGGTACAGATGCCAACCACATTCTGGGACAATCAAGGACTTTTGAGGACTTATTTTAATTTAATGATCTATTGTAAAATAACTGCAAAATGGGAAATAAAAAGGTGACTAGGTTTAATAGAACACACCCCCTTTCTCCATACTAAAAAGCAATCGCTAGATTTGTTCAGTGCACATATGAAAAATACAGTTCTGAGAAGTAGTATATGCATGTACAGTATATAACAGCATAAAGGTTCTCCAGCTCTAAGTAATCAATAAAGTTACTCATTGCAGAAATGTGTTTACATAAAAATACTGTGGGTTTTTACAGTAGTAATGATCTAAACCATAATTTCAAAATGGATACTCCAAAAGAGACATTATATCATGTCATGCATCTTGTTACTCGATGTTAATTAGTGTTTAATGATGTAATTTTGAAAATCTGAAATAAATCAAGAATTTTAAATTTGAAAACGATTTTTTACCTTGGCATTTCACATCTGAGCAATTGCCTTATAATCTTCATGCTTACTATTATGACGAATCCAACAGTGGTGGAAATATTTTTAAGTATCTATCAGACCTATTCTTTAGTCAGAACATTATTTAAGTCAAACATATAATGAGATAACTTAAAATTTAAACTCAAATGGAGAGATTACAATTACAATGGTGGAGAATAAAGGGAAGCCATATTATATGCTTTGCATGCAGGTTTTTCTATATTTTTTTTATCAAAAGCTTATATACAAAGTCATAAGGTAGAAGTCAATACCCTGGGGAACTATATTCATCAAAAGCTTATATACAAAGTCATTAGGCAGAAGTTAATACTCTGGGGAACTAGTAACAAAGAAATTTTCACCATGACAATTGACTGAATTTAAGTATTTAACCTCTATAAGTGGAACATTTTTTTAGTGGAACACTTCTTAACAGAACCAAGAGTGTTCTACTTACACAAGTTTTGCTGTTCAGAATATATATATCTGCTATTCAGGCCTTAATCTACGAATAGATGTCAATAGATCTCCTAATATTTGATAAGTTCTGGGAAGTACTAGAGTCATATCAACACTGGGATTCCCCTTACTGGAATACAATTATGTTTTATTTCTAATAGACGTGGCTCTTTGTGATTGGTAAAAAATAATCTTTATATAATTATTGTACACAGTATTTACACTGTTTTTGATGGTGAGAACAGCAAACATTTGAGAGAAAATGCCTTATAATCTAAACCCGTACCATTATAACAAGCTAAACAATGATGAAGATGATTACATGTATCCATCAGAGCTATACTACACCCAGGACAGCATAGCATGTAGATTCACGAATGGCAAACTTTTAAGTGAAACTTTCAATGAGATAATTGCTGGAAATCTGAACCCAAATGAAGATATACCCCCTATCACAGTGGTATATGACTATCCCAGTTATCCAGAACGGCCTTTTGTATTGGGATGCAGGCGCCTCTATATTTATCAAGAGCTTGAAAAGCTAGACGTCATACGTAAAGTCAAAGTGGAGATTAGCAGCTTGGCTAGTCAGCAACACAGGTTAAACAACTTTACCACAACAAATGGTGGAGTATCTGTTGAATTGCGGTCAAATGCAGGCCAGTTCAACAAAAATCGTGCTCGCGGTTGGAATTTCTACAAGAATCGATATCACTTTGGGGATTGGGAAAAGTCAGGTAATTAAAAGCAATTATATGTCCTCTGTAAATTTGAAATCTCATTCATAAGATAAGATTAAGAACAAGAGACAAGCATCCTTAGATATCAGATTAAATACAAGCCCTTGTCGGTGCACTACAGTAAAACCTGTCTAATTTGAACACCATTGGGACAGACTAAAATCAGTCAGATTAGAAGGTGTTCACATTTTGAGGTTTTTGCATTTGTGAGATTCTGGATTTTCAAGGTATATGAACAGATTCTCAATAAATATTTACAGTTCTATTAGGCCACATAGCCTTATGGCATTCTAATAACTTAATTGAAAATCAGATTCAAATGAATTAAGTTATCTTAAATAGACATTTTATTATTGAAACCATTCAATGTTTTTCAAAAAGTTTTGATATCATGATAAAACAGTTACCAATAGAAAATATTTGAGCAATATTTGGAGGAAATGTGTGACATTTTATGAAAACTGTTCAGACTAGACAGGTTAATTTTACAAAAATCTGTTCATTGTTGAAATTGGGAAGTGTTCTCATTTTAAAGTTTTTTTTAACAAAAGAGTCAATGTGAGGAAAAAGTGGGACAGAAAAGAAGAGTTCAAACTGGGGGGTATATTAGCCAGGTGTTCAGATATACAGGTTTTACTGTATAAAATATATCACACCAAGATGAATCATTTTTACATGGGGATTCCCCTTTATAATGTTCCATCTGCTTTACATTTCTATGACACCATATTGAAAAATTACAGCCATTTTATCTTCTGGAAGGTTGCAATGAGTATATTAAAGTGCTATTATACTAATGTTGTCAGGTAGCAATATGAAAGATATGAATATAGTTTTTTAAAAATAAAATGCATAAAAAATATGATCAACATTACCATATCTTACAATTCCAAACATGGAAAAATGGGTGATGGTACTCAAACAAGCTTTTCTCTATAGAGATACCTGCAGAGGGTAGAAACGCATAGAGTATGTCCGTTGAGTACAGTATAGGAATTACACTCCAAAACTGTCATTTTATTCAATATTGTGGGATAATCTCAGAAATTCTTTTCAAAACCAACATATTTCTTTGGTGAATAATCCTACATTCCAGAAAACTAGATGGATTGCTCTCATTTTATAACAAATGAATGGTCCCTGGTACACCAGGAACATGAAAAGTTTATTGCTAGGAAAGGAAACACTACAAAATGTTCACAGAGTACCAAATAAAATTACACTTGGCTGTTTTTCGAAGTTTTTTTTCAGATATTTATGGTAATCAAATTGTAAGATGACTAAATTTCAAGAAAATTCCTTCACCTCCAACAGTTATTCCATATTAGTATTCTGTGACAATTTTTTAGGACACCTTGTATTAACTGTATCATGCTGTTGTATAGTCATCACGCATGGCCAGGTATAACATTCCACTCTTTCATGGTTTTGATTAAATATTTAGGATCCCAAGAATGAAACAAATGCTAGAAAAGAATACAATTAAAAATGCTAGAAAAGAATACAATTAAAAAACTGTTTTAATGTTATGCATATATAATTCCAGCTGATAGATACAATCAACCCAGATCGCAACACAACAATCAACCAGAAACCAACTCACATGGCTTTGATCAATCAACACAGGATTTCACGACAATAGATGTAGAACCAGAGTTTACAACCAGAAATACTAATAATAGACATTACAAGTTCCCAGTTGATGATGAATCATGCTGTCCATGTACAATCATGTAAAAACAAGCTTTAAACTTATATACTGCGCAACAATGTATACATCTATGGCTTATATCCCACCGCTGCAACCATTATGCAATCATGTAAAAACTTAATAGGCACAACTCTGTATACAACTATGGTTCATATCCCACAGCCGCAACCATTATGCAATAATGTAAAAACTTAATACGCACAACTCTGAATACAACTTACTATGGTTCATATCCCACCGCTGCAACCATTATGCAATCATGTAAAAACTTAATAGGCACAACTCTGTATACAACTATGGTTCATATCCCACCGCTGCAACCATTATGCAATCATGTAAAAACTTAATAGCATAACTCTTGATACAACTTACTATGGTTCATCCCACCACTGCAACCATTATGCAATCATGTAAAAACTTAATAGGCACAACTCTGTATACAACTATGGTTCATATCCCACCGCTGCAACCATTATGCAATCATGTAAAAACTTAATAGCATAACTCTGAATACAACTTACTATGGTTCATATCCCACCGCTGCAACCATTATGCAATCATGTAAAAACTTAATTCGCACAACTCTGAATACAACTATGGTTCATATCCCACCACTGCAACCATTATGCAATCACGTAAAAACTTAATAGCATAACTCTGGATACAACTTACTATGGTTCATATCCCACCACTGCAACCATTATGCAATCACGTAAAAACTTAATAGCATAACTCTGGATACAACTTACTATGGTTCATCCCACCGCTGCAACCATTATGCAATCATGTAAAAACTTAATTCGCACAACTCTGAATACAACTATGGTTCATATCCCACCGCTGCAACTATTATGCAATCATGTAAAAACTTAATAGCATAACTCTGAATACAACTTACTATGGTTCATATCCCACCGCTGCAACCATTATGCAATCATGTAAAAACTTAATAGCATAACTCTGGATACAACTTACTATGGTTCATCCCACCACTGCAACCATTATGCAATCATGTAAAAACTTAATAGGCACAACTCTGTATACAACTATGGTTCATATCCCACCGCTGCAACCATTATGCAATCATGTAAAAACTTAATAGCATAACTCTGAATACAACTTACTATGGTTCATATCCAACCGCTGCAACCATTATGCAATCATGAAAAACTTAATAGCATAACTCTGAATACAACTTACTATGGTTCATATCCCACCGCTGCAACCATTATGCAATCATGTAAAAACTTAATAGCATAACTCTGAATACAACTTACTATGGTTCATATCCCACCGCTGCAACCATTATGCAATCATGTAAAAACTTAATAGCATAACTCTGGATACAACTTACTATGGTTCATCCCACCACTGCAACCATTATGCAATCATGTAAAAACTTAATAGGCACAACTCTGTATACAACTATGGTTCATATCCCACCGCTGCAACCATTATGCAATCATGTAAAAACTTAATAGCATAACTCTGAATACAACTTACTATGGTTCATATCCCACCGCTGCAACCATTACGCAATCATGTAAAAACTTAATAGGCACAACTCTGTATACAACTATGGTTCATATCCCACAGCTGCAACCATTATGCAATCATGAAAAACTTAATAGCATAACTCTGAATACAACTTACTATGGTTCATATCCCACCGCTGCAACCATTATGCAATCATGTAAAAACTTAATTCGCACAACTCTGAATACAACTATGGTTCATATCCCACCGCTGCAACTATTATGCAATCATGTAAAAACTTAATAGCATAACTCTGGATACAACTATGGTTCATATCCCACCACTTAAATCATCGTGATGCATCTTGCCTGTGACACAATTAAAATGAT